TAAATTATTTTTTCAACAATTATTAATAAAATTTCTCGAAAGAATTCAATTATTTTCATAAATTACAAAATCCTTAGAAAAAATGTAATTCTTCAAAAAATTCAATTTTTCTCAAAATTTATAAAATTTTTTAGAAAAATTCAATTATTATTATTATTTCTAAATTGTTTTAAAAATTCTTCCCAAAAATTCAATTATTTTCCAAATTTTAATTTGTCAATTTTGCGAAGTGAATAAAACGAGTTTTTTTTTCTTTTTTTTTGACATTAAAAAAAATTAAAATTACCCACAAAAATTAATATTCAAAACAAACAAATGAATGCAGATAATTTGCTAACGGAAAGGAAACTTACGATTATTATAATGTATTTTAAATAATTGAATTCTCTGAGAATTTTCTGATAAAAAATGATTTCAAAATTAATAACAACTAAAATTTTAAATAACATAGGTTTACAAATTAAAAACTTTTTTTTGTCAATCGAACAAAACAATTTTTTTTCGAATAGTAGGTGTTTTTTGAGTAAGAAAATCATAGTTTTAATTTTTTTCCCTCGTGCAGTTTTTCTGTAGCTTCAAATTTTGCATTTTCGAGGTGCGACGCCACTTAAACTTACCTGTAGAAAAATTAGCTAGTCAAAATATAATAAATGAGGTATCATTGGAAAGGTTATTAAATTACCTTTCGATCCATAGGTCACAGAATAAAATTCAACAAAAATTGAGAGAGTTACAGTCGATTAAAGATGAAATTTCATGACAATTTTGATGATTTTTAGACATTTGAGTAACTTCTACTATTTTTTTCTACATCAAACAGGAAAGAATGTTTAGGTTTTAATTTTTTTATTGATAGAATATATCATTACACAAATTTTGAGCCCTTGTGGACCTCGATTGGATTAAAAATGACAATTCTACACTAAATTTAGTGAACGAAACTACATTCTTCATTTTTAGTATCCCTTAAACATTTGCAGCAAAAATTGAAGTAATAAAATTTAGTTAAGCTCTAAAGTTACTAAAATCACTAATAAAGGATTTCTGAAATCGTAGATTTCGAATCCAATGTTAGTTTTCTAAATTTCAAAATGGCGGATCCAATATGGCGGACAAGTTTTTAAAAATCGATTAAATTCGTCTTAAATTCGTTACTAGGGGGTTTTCGGGGTCGCTGATTACGAATCTGATGTCAGATTTTAAAAATTAAAAATGGCGGATCCAATAGGTGCGAATTCGATGGATTTTAAAAAACTCGTTCACCATTATGAATCCATCCTTTTCAATTTTCGAAATCCGACATCAGATTCGTAATCAGCGACCCCGAAAACCCCCGAGTAACGAATTTAAGACGAATTTAATCGATTTTTAAAAACTTGTCCGCCATATTGGATCCGCCATTTTGAAATTTAGAAAACTAACATTGGATTCGAAATCTACGATTTCAGAAATCCTTTATTAGTGATTTTAGTAACTTTAGAGCTTAACTAAATTTTATTACTTCAATTTTTACTGCAAATGTTTAAGGGATACTAAAAATGAAGAATGTAGTTTCGTTCACTAAATTTAGTGAAGAATTGTCATTTTTAATCCCATCGAGGTCCACAAGGGCTCAAAATTTGTGTAATGATATAGTCTATCAATAAAAAAATTAAAACCTAAACATTCTTTCCTGTTTGATGTAGAAAAAAATAGTAGAAGTTACTCAAATGTCTAAAAATCATCAAAATTGTCAAGAAATTTCATCTTTAATCGACTGTAACTCTCTCAATTTTTGTTGAATTTTATTCTGTGACCTATGGATCGAAAGGTAATTTAATAACCTTTCCAATGATACCTCATTTATTATATTTTGACTAGCTAATTTTCCTACAGGTAAGTTTAAGTGGCGTCGCACCTCGAAAATGCAAAATTTGAAGCTACAGAAAAACTGCACGAGGGGAAAAAATTAAAACTATGATTTTCTTACTCAAAAAACACCTACTATTCGAAAAAAAATTGTTTTGTTCGATTGGCAATTTCACTGTAAACAAGTGTAACAATTGAATATTGAAAAACATTACAGTGTGAATTTTTTTTTAAAATAATTGCATTTTGAAAAGGTTCCAACTTAAAAATTGAATTGTAATCAAATAGATTGGAAAATACTCACAGAGCTTTTTCAAAAATTATTCTTAATAATTGATTTAAAGAAGAATCGTATAGTTAAAAAACACGAAAAAATTGAATTTTGGAGAAGTTACAAATTATTGGAGAAACCCGCAGTAAGAAACGAAAAATTGAAAAGGATTGAAATAATTCAAACTCTGTATGGTGTAGTAGAAATTATCCAATACTTTTGAATGCCATTTCTGTCCAATACTTTTCTATACCATGATAGGACCACGTTTCGTCTAAAAATGAATGCTATTCAATTCTTTTTGTAATTTTTAACAAAGACAAAATTTTTTTCTGAATGCTTTCCAATCCCATCGGAAATTATTACAGCCTGTCATTATATCACTTTTCAATTTTTCATTGGAACCGCGTTTCTGCATGCATTCAAGCAATCTTCTGGATTTTTGTAATTTATAAGATACATACAGTGGCAGATTTTGTAAAAAGTGTTTGTGTTCAAAGAAAAACTTGCTGAAAAATTGATTGTTTACCAATTTAACGTCATTTAAACGAGTCAGGGCCGTTATTCTGTTAGACAATAAATCATAACCTAAAAATTTCAGAGACCTTTAAACACTTTTAACCCTCTTAACTGATAATTTAATAATTATTCCTTTTTAAAATAGCAAATAAATTCATGAGTGCAGTTATTTGAAAGTAATTGAACATTCTATATGTCAATAATATTAGTATTATATTATTATACTACTGTCGCGGAATTCAGAAGCATAGGGCAGAAATGGTATTCAAAAGGATAGAATTTTTTTAATGCTTCTTAATCTTTGCTTTCTTACTGAGTATTCAAGAGGATTGATATCGTTACTTTTCATATTGCTCTCACTGGATAGAAAAGTATTGGACAGAAATGGCATTCAAAAGAATAGAATCTTTTTAATACTTTTCAATTTTTCGTTTCTTACTGGGAATTCAATTATTTTCAAAAGTCATAAAATTTTTTTGCAAAAATTCAATTATGTTCAAAATTTTTTTTAAATTCTTGTCAATATTTCAATTATGTATGTTCAAAAATTTTAATAAAGTTGTTTGAAAAATTTCTATTATTTTAAAAAAATTTTCTCAATTAAATGAATTTCAATATCTACCATTTTTAAAAAGTTTTCCAAAAGAATTCAATTATTTAAAAAAAATTTTTTTTTTCAGTCTATATTTATGCACACGACTTTGTAATTGAATATTTTTAATTTCTGTACAAAATTTAAATAAATTGGAAAATAAGATTTTTTAATCAATTTTCACCACTTATTCTAATTTGCGTTATTTAATCAAAATTTCCTTTATGCAAAATGTAAAAGTTCTTTTTATCATCCTTGAATTCAAAATTTAAGAATAGCAAATAATACATATAGGTAGAGCAACATTCATAATTTAATATTCAAGAAATGTAAAATTTATATCTCATGCTCTTTTTATACGATTTAAAAATCAAAGTAGAACGGCATGAAAAATCAAACAGTGATTCATAAATATTTTAGCTGAAATTCACTTTTAGAGGTCGTTCACAAACTACGTCACACTCCTATGGGTGATGGGGGGGGGTGTCAAGCTGTGCGTGACGAAATGTGGAAAAAAAATTTTGTATGTAAAAAATGTGACAAAGGGGGGGGGGTCAAAATTAGTCCGAAAAAGCGTGATGTAGTTTGTGAATGACCCCTTAAATCAATTCTTATTAGAAACTTCCACTAGGATACAATTATTTAAAAAGAAAAAATTTTTATAGAATAATTCTTAAAATCGAATTTTTATAAAGAATTTTGTAAAAAATTTTATAAATAATTGAATTACTTTTATGAATTTTAATACAATTTTTAGGAATAATTGCATTTTTCGGGGAATTCAATTTCAAATTCAATTTACATTCAATATTTCAAAATTTTATTAAAAATAATTGAAAATCTGTGATTATTTATGTAAATAATTGAATTCCTGCGAAGCATTTCATTAACATTTTTTTTAAATAGTTAATTGATTTTTTTGGAAAAATTTTATAAAAATTGTATTTGAAATAATTGAATTTATAAGAAGAATTTTATTATTTATGAAAATAATTGAATTCTTGCGAAAATTGACAAAAACAATTGAATTTTTTAGAGAATATAGAAATGATTGAATTCCCCAGGAGATTAAAATTTTGTATTACAATTATTTAATTCTTACCAAGAATTTTATTAAAACTTTTGAAAATATTTTAAATAACTGTCAGAAATATTGAGCATAATTGAATTTCTGCAAAGAATTTTGTATTAGATTAAAAAAAAATAATTTAACTTTTCCGAGAATATTGAAAATAATTTAATTCCTGCGAAGAATTGTATTAAATTTTTTTTAATAATCAATTTTTATCGAAAAATTTTAGAAAAATTGTATTTTCTATAATTGAATTCCTGTGAAAAATAATTTAATTCTTGTGAAGAATTTTATAAAAAACTTTTTAAATAATTGAATTTTTTCGAAAAATTTGATGAAAATTGTATTTTAAATGATTGAATTTCTGTGAAAATTTTACTATTTTGTGAAAATAATTGAATGTTTGAGAATTTTTTTTTTAAATAATTGAATTCTTTTGGGAAATTTGATTAAAATAGTATAGATATTGAAAATAATTAAATTTTAAAAAATGTTTGAAAATAATTGAATCATTTGAAAGAATTTATATGTTATTAATAATTTTTCGTTGTTTAAAATAAAAAGAGGATTTAAAAAAAAGATTAAAAAAAAGAATTTAGAAAAAAGGATTAAAAAGAGGATTAGAAATGAGAATTAAAAAAAATTAAAAAAGAAGTAAATAACTTTCAAATAAAAATTAATATGCAATAAATTTTTAGATGGGATTTAAAACTCCAGGTACTGCATCTTGTGAGTGGTTATCACTCACGATAAAACTTCCAAAAGAAAATCGAGACAAAGTTCAATTGACTGTAAAATCCGATTTGGTGGATTTACGTAGTCCAAAGTAAGAATTTATTACATATGTGTAACTTTTTTTTTGTTTTTAAATTAATTTTCTAATTTTATTCCAAAGAAGAGTTTTTTTCGTAAAATTAAATGAATAATATACAATTTGCTTTTCATCTTTTTCGCGTTTTTATTAATGTGCAACTTTTATAATTACTCGCCTTTTTATACCGCTTATTTTAAAAAATTTAATTATACCGAGACTATATCAGAGGCGAATCTCTAACAAAACGTAATAAAAAAATGGCGTTCTTCTTCTTTTACTTTATTATCGTAAAAATTGTTTTTCTATTTGTTTCTCTGCTTAATAAATTTTCAATTTTTTTTCTGATTAAAACATAATTTTTTAAAGTGTAAAAATAATTATTTTTTGTTTAAATTTTCTTCTTTGTTCTCTTACGTTTTATTTTTGAAATTTTATAAACCTTGGAAAAAGTTGATTACAAAACTAATAAAAGAAAGAGTTATTACTTTATTTCTATTTTTATTTTTTCATGTTTTCGTGAGCTTTTTTACTTCTTAACTTTTTTCATAATTTTTCTTTTCAAATGTTTTGAATTTAAGAATAAATGAAACTCGAATTTAATATTTTGAAGAATACATAATAACAAAAATTAATTAAAAAAAAATAGTTTTTTGATTAAAAATCATAATTTAATTTGTAAATTTAATTTTTTGATACTATTTTAAAAAGAACAATTTTTAAATTATTTTATTTTCCCTAATTTTTTGTTGCTAACAGAATTTAAAAAAAAATTTTAAATCGGGTCAGTCCACTGACTTTCGTCTGGGGGTTGTTGCGGCTATATTTTTAAAAAATCTGGTTTTAAAATATGTAAAACTAGAAGACTTCCTGATTCCATTAACCACAATATTATTCCGAAAATTTTATTTTTTTAAATTTTATTATTAATCAAAAGTTGGACTCTCAGAGTATTATTTTGTAACCTTAAATTTTGCACTTTTTTAAAATCGTTTTTATTCAATAATTATTTTATGTCATATATCAGAACTTACCAAAAGCATAAATCATTTGATGGTGACTCAGGAATCGAAGGAATTACTATGAAAATATATTAATTTTAATTATTAAAGCGAAATCGAAAATTTTTTTCGCAAAATAATTATTCGATTTTCTGAAGACTATAACTTTTTTCTCAATGCTCCTAAAATTTCAGTCTTCTCCGTATAGTTGAATAACGACATAATTAACTTTATCTTATAATTTGACGTATGTGTTTTACTTCGTTTTTGACAAATTAATTTTTTAATTTATTTTCTTAAAAAGGTTAATTTTATACAACTCTCATCGAATTTCAACGTGTAAATAGAGTGATGTGAAATTGGTCGGTTAACTTCAAGTCCTAAAATTAACCTTTTTAAGTGAATAATGTGAAAAAATTAATATTTCAAAAACGAAGCAAAACACATACGTCAAATTTTAATATTGAGTAAATTATATTACTGTTAAGATACACGGGAAAGATTGAAATTTTAGGAGCATTGAGAAAAAAGTTATAGTCTTTAGAAAATCGGATAATTATTTTGTGAAAAAAATTTTCGATTTCGCTTTAATAATTAAAATTAATATATTTTCATAGTAATTCCTTCGATTCCTGATTCACCATCAAATGATTTATGCTTTTGGTAAGTTCTGTTATATGACATAAAATAATTATTGAATAAAAACGATTTTAAAAAAGTGCAAAATTTAAGGTTACAAAATAACACTCTGAGAGTCCAACTTTTGATTAATAATAAAATTTAAAAAAATAAAATTTTCGGAATAATATTGTGGTTAATGGAATCAGGAAGTCTTCTAGTTTTACATATTTTAAAATCAGATTTTTTTAAAATATAGCCGCAACAACCCCCAGACGAAAGTCAGTGGAGTGACCCAATCACATTTTTGATTAAAAATGATAGAATTTTAGAAAAATTTTATAATTTTAAATACCTATGGAATAAAAAATTATTTTTGCATACGATTTTATTCAAATTTTTGGATTCTAATTTTAACAGATAGTATTTTTGTTTAAAAATTGATATAATTTTTGAAAATTGTTTCGAAATTTCGAATTGTTTCGAATTTATTAAAATTTGTGAAAATATTAAAATACTTTGAATTCTTAAATTCCTTAAATTTTTTTTTAAATAATTGAATTTTTGAATTTCTTAAATTTTTTAAATAAAAAAAATAATTCAAAATAATTCAATTATTGAATTATTTTGAGAAATAACTTTGTTAAAATTCTAGTGAAAATAATTTAATTCTGAAAAAGAATTTTTTCAAAATTTAAGAAAATAAATGAGCGGATGGGAAGAAGAACTCGCCGAGCGCGTGGTTGTAAGGGATATCAGTCAGGTATACCTGACTGGAACTATCCCTTTCAGTCGAGCGCTCGGCGAGTTCTTCTTCCCATCCGCTCAAATGTAGATAATTATTGATAAAAATAATTAAATTCTCGAATATTTAATCATTTTTTCAAATAATGGAATTGTTGCGAAGAATTTTATTGAAATTAAAAAAAATATTTTAATTCTTTAGGGAAATTCTATTAAATTTTATTTGAAAATAATCAGATTGTTTCAAGATTTAAAAAATTTTTTAAAATAATTAAATTCTTTCGGGAAATTTTATTCAAATTGTATTGAAAATAATTGAATTCTTATAAATATTTTTATCAAAATTTTAGGAAATAACTAAATTTATTCCTAGAAGTTAAAAAAACATTTGTAATAATTGAATTCTTTCCGGAAATTTTTTTTTAATTGAACTAAAGAAAATTTAAATTGATACGAAAAATGACAGTTTTTATAAAAATAATTGAATTCTTGAATTGAAATTTTTTTAAAAAATAATTTAATTGTTTCGAAGAATTTTATTAAAATTTAAAAAAATAGATGAATTCTTTAGGGAAATTGTATTAAAATATAATTTTAAATAATTGAATTCTTTCGAGAAATAATTCTATAAAAATATTTTATTGAGAAGAATTGAATTCCTTGCGAAAAAAATTATTATTTATGAAAATAATCACATTTGTTTCAGTAATTTAATTGAATTTATATTAAAAATAATTAGTAAACCAAGTCCGTTTCTGGGCCATTAGGCTGAAATAAATTATTATTATTATATTCAAAATAATTGAATAATTATCAAGAATTTTATCAGAATTTTTAAAAATAATTGAATTTCTTAGAAGAAATTTCAGAAAATTTTTACAAGTAATTGACATCTTAATTAAAAACTAATTCTACTAAAACATTATTGAAAATAATATTTTCATTATTTACGAAAGTACATAATTCAATTCTTGTTGCTAAGAATTTTAAGAATTTTATGCAAATAATAATTAATATAATTAATTAGTAAAAACGTGTATTCTTTTAAATTTTGAATCTAAAATAATTTAAAAATTTAAATTATAAAATTGGTAAAGTGAAAAATCTGTAACATTTACTATTTAGAATATAAAAATAAAGTGTAAAAATAAATTTTGCTATAAAAATAAAATTTTGGCATTTTGCAGATATCGTTTGGTTTTGCCAACGCCACACAAGGTTGATCCTAATGTTTCATCAGCAAGATGGTTTCGAGAAACGTACACATTAGAAATTTCATTAAAATTAGTTCGAGAATTGGATGCAATTAATTTTTAAAAAGTGGATTATTTAATTTTTATAAATAAAATACAATTGTTTGTAATTCGTCATAAGTTTTGAGGGGAAGGAGAAAAAAACCAGAAAACATTTTTATTCCATTTTTTGTGAGTTTATAAAATTTTTTCTATTATTATTTAATGCAAAAAATTAAAAATTATTTATTTAGTGCAAAATATTTGACGTTTATTATTTAATGCCAAATATTTAAATTCATTAAATATTAAATATATAAATGAAATTAATACATGGAAATTAAAGAAAAAAAAATGAATTTTAATGTAAGAATACTTTTTTAATTTCATTTTGATTCGTGTGTGATTTATTTTGTGTTACGTTAAAGTCATTGTGAGTGTATATGAGTAAAAGATAAGCACCAAGGTTAACAATAAATGGAATTTTAATAACATTTATGTTCGTGAAGTTTCTGAAGAGAAGATAAGCCACGGAGCGATATGCGCCTCCATAGCTCAGGGGTTAGAGCACTGGTCTTGTAAACCAGGGGTCGAGAGTTCAAATCTCTCTGGGGGCAACTTTTTTTATTTCGTAAATTTATTCGTTTTTCACTATAAACAAATGGAAGTTTAAATTTAGTATTTTTAATAATCAAGTATTTTTTAATAATTTTTGTGTTTTTTAATTAAATTTTGTTTATTCAAATAAATGTTATCAAATGCCCTTAAATCTTTTTATTATTTTTATTTTTTCATTATATTTTTAATACCTAAGTAATAAATTTTAATAATCAAAAATAATGTAATAATAAAAATAATACATTTTTATTATTAAATATAATAAAATTTATTTTTTTATTTATTTATACCCCGCAGTCAAAACGATTAGTAAATGTAAATGTCATGAAAAAAATTTTTTGTCAGGTAAATGAAGAAAATTGAGACTTTTTCGACTTTTCATCCAAACATTGCAACAAATTAACACAATATTTAGTAAAAAAGTGCAACTTATTTCGATTTTTATAATTCAAAAAATAACTATAAACAAATCTTTCAAAAATTGTTTTTGAATAGTTAAAAAATTTTGTAAAATTTAATTGAAAACAATTAATTTATTTCAAGTATTTTGTTACAATTTTTGAAAATCAACTTTTGAAGAATTTTAATTAAAAATTTTGAAAATAATTGAATTATCAAAAATTTTTCTTTAAAGGTAAATTTAAAAATGAAAATAAGCTTCTAATTTTTGAAAATTCAATATTTTTAATAATTTTAATTACAAATTTCCAAAAATTTTAAAATGAAACATTTTAAAATTATTTTTAACATTTTGGAGAAAACAATAATGTTCAAAATATCTACAAAAAATATTTTTAAAAACTAATTATTAGAATTGTTTCGTAATAATTTTTTAAGATTCCAAATTTACTTTTTGGACTTATTAAAATTTTTGAGAAATCTTGGTCTTGTTTATAATTAAATTTTTTCAAAAATTTGATATAATAAATATTGCTTTAAATTATAATTATACATGTGTTTATTGTTTAATAATATACATGTGTATGTGCTGCGTGTATATGTGTGAGTATACATGTGTATATGTACATATTGTTGAAAACGTTGAACGAAAAATTTGGTGGACGAAGGAAATATTTTAATATAAGATAAGATAAGATATAAGAAAAGATTAAATTTTTCTAAATACATTTCGTTGTTATTAAATCTTTTTTTTTATTCTATTTTTTATTACTGTTAAACATTTTCAATAATTTTGTTAAAAAAATTTTCTTATTTTTTTGTTTTATTATTTTAAAAATTAATTTTGTTTATTGAATTTTTCTTATTTTTTAAATGTTTATTATCAACATTTTCTTCAAATAAACTTTTTTTACTGATTTTTTTTTATCTTTTTAGTATACTTTTTATTATTAAATATTTTTTAATAAATTTTGTTTCTAGAACATTCCTTATTTTTTCTATTACATTTTTTATTATCAAATTTTTTAAAATAAATTTTGTTTATTGAATTTTTCTACTGTTTTACCATATTTTTTTATTATTAAGTAAATAAATTTTTTCTATTGCTTTTTTTATTAAATTTTGTTTATTTAGTTGTGTTACATTTTTATTATATTTTTTACAATTAAATTTTGTTTATTAAATTTCTTTTTCATCAACACAAAAAAGAAAAATTCCAATTATTTTTAACGAAGAATTTAAAAAAAAAAAATTTTTGCAATATTCTTCACAATGAAACATTTAATATTGAAACGAAAATAATTCTTTTAAATTCAATTTAAATGCAATTATGGATTTAGTTTGTGTTTGTGTGTTTTTTTTATACGCATAGAATTTATATGCAAAGCGTTAATTAGTTTTTCGACAAATATAATATATACTATATACATATACCGGAAATTATACATGCTCTTATACAGATACATGTATAATCCGGTTCAGGTGCATTATTAGATTCACGAATTCTGAAGTTCAAGTCACAAGTTAAATTGTGGCTGGAAGATGTGTTCAATATTGATTTCTCGTGTAAGTGAAGTTCTTACTGCTTAAATTTTCGAGTAAATTCAAATTTAACATCAAGTTGCACTTGTACACCTTCATTTGAAATGAGCCAACATAGTATATACATTCAGTTTAAGCTTCTAAATTCGTCGCTATTATTCACGTTCTTAGAAGGCGAAAAAAAATATTATTCTCAACGAGACGCATTCAAAAATGAGAAAATAATTTCATTTTTCAACAAATTACTCTCTCACTCCCTCTCTCTCCAAATATTAATTGGTAAATGTTACTAATAAATTAGTAGAAATTTCTATTAATTAGAAAAATTTACTAATCAATTAGTAGAAATTACTATTTAATACTAAAATTTACTAGACAATAGTTAGAAATATCTATATTTATTAGTAAAATTTACTAATCAATTATTATTTCTTTCGAGAAGTAATTCTATTAAAATTTTAGTAAAAATAATTCAATTCTTATAAATAATTTTATCAAAATTTAAGAAAATAATTGAATTATTATTTAATTATTACTTAATGGGTTAATAATAAAAATAAAATTAGTAAATATAAAAAATAATAATAATATAGATTTAAATCAATATAAAAATAATAAAATAAATTAAGGGGGGAAACCACATTAGAACGCTGTTTTTAGCCGTTTTTCGCGAAATTTTTTTTTTAAGTAAGAATTTTTTTCAATGAAATAAAACATTTCCACCATGTTTTACATATATTCAACTGTAACTCATATTTTTTTAAGCGTTTATATAAAAAATCTTTCAAATTGGGCAGTCCTGAGCCCACAAATTTCGTCCGAAAGCAAAAAATCAAGTCTATTCACATTTTATAAATATTTTATTATTAAGTGAACCAACTTTTATGTGAAAATATTGAAAATTAAAAAATTGACACTACTTTGAAAAAAAGATTCGATTTTTTGCCTACTTTTTTGCAACTTTTTTATTTAAAAAAAGGTCAGCTATCTAAAAGCGCCATTTTTGTGCATGTGGAATAAAAAAAAATTTTTTAAGGTGCTTACACTTTAATCAGCTATTCCAGCACTATACATATCCCCCCTTTATCTGCTTCATAAGTAGCATGTAAGTCTAATAATTCCTCTTTTCGTCCCTTTCTGCTCTCCTTAGTCTCAAAAGTGCTACGCCTATTCTACTAATCTACGGTAACCTAGAGCGCGCTCCGGCATTACCAGTACAGCGAGGACGTCGAATTTTGCTCTTAAAACTTTTGCAGCCTATTTTTGAACACCTTAACTAACAATTTATGCAAAAAAGAAAAAATCGATTTTTTCAGACGTCTAATGTGGTTTCCCTCCTTAATGTCGAATAAATAAGAAAAACCATTTTTTTAAATTGAAAATTTTCGTAATAATGTAATCTTTGTTGTTCTTATTTGAATTTTTATGTCTAATTTTATTATCTAAAATATGTAGTTGTTTTTTAACCCGTTGACTGTCGCTGACGCATATATGCGCAAAACTAAACTGGCCAAAAGTGGTTCATGACGCATATATGCGCAACTTAAAAAAGGTGATTAAAAACTTCTTAAATGTTCCTGAAATCAGTTACTCGGGGGTTTTCGAGGTCGCTGATTACGAATCTGACATTAGTTTTTTAGGGTATTTATCGAAATTTGATTTCACCAAAAATTATCATACTGATATCAGCACAGAAAAAAATGCGAATGGTAAAAACAACCACATTTGTGTAGTTAGAAAAAAAGTAGTTAAAACTACCATATTCAGCAGCATTTCACACTAAAAAAAAAGTTTTACTTTCAGCCTCTTTTTGAGGCTGAATTTAAGGTGTAAACGGAGTCAGCCCCGTTAAACAAGGACAGACTTATGTGAAATACACGGGCTGAATTTAAGGTGTAAACGGAGTCAGACTTTTTTTTCCTGTGTTTAACTACACTTCCTCAGTTAGTGGAACCAAAATGAAGTAGTTGGTTTTATGTAGTTAAAATAACTACTTTACGTAGTTGAAATAACTAACAGATGCTTGTAAATGGCTCAACTATAGTGTAGTAGTAAAAACTATTGTTAAAAATAGTTAATTTTACTATTGTGGTAGCAAAAATAACTATTTTGTATTAGTTGCAAACAAAATGAGACTTACTGTTTTTATATAGTAAATACAACCTCTGAAAGTTGTTACTTTTATGATTTATGTAGTTAAAACAACTATTTCTTACTAGTTGCAGAGAAAGAAAGAAATTTACTGTTTTCATATAGTAAAATCAATTGTTGAAAATAGTTATTTTTACTATTTATGCAGTTGAAAAGATCATTTTTTTCTGCAGAGAAAAAACGTGAGTGGTAAAAGTATCCACATATGTGCAGTTAAAAAAATATAGTTAAAACTACCATATTCAGCAGCATTTTAACAGCATTTTAACTAAACTTCCATAGTTAGTGGAACTAAAATTGAATAGTAGGTTTTATGTAGTTAAAATTACTACTACACGTTATGATTGTGAATAACTCAACAATAGTGCAGTAGTTAAAAGTACTGTTAAAAATAGTTATTTTCGGAATTTCTGTAGTAGAAATATCCATTTCTTGCTATTTGCAAAATAAATTAAAATTTACTGTTCCAAAGAGTAAGAACAACCGCTGAAATTTGTTATTTTTGTGTTTAATGTAGTTAAAAGAACCAATTCTTACTAGCTTTTAATAATTTATCTCTATGGTGGTAAGAAACATTTATTTTTATAACTACAAAAGTCATAAAAGTAACAATTTCTATGTTATTTTTACTATATGAAAATAGTAAGTTTAATTTTATTATAACTAGTAAAAAGTGGATAATTTTACTACAGAAATTCTGAAAATAACTATTTTCAACAGTACTTTTAACTACTGCACTATCGTTGAGTCATTTAAAATCATATGCTGGCTACATTTCAACTAAGTCCTTGAGCTTAAAAAATTAGTTACTGCAACTAAACGGAGTAGTTATTATGACTGAATCTAAGAAGAATGTCCTCAAGTACAATGCCAGTCATCGTAGCGTGCGAGCGTGGTTAGGTGGTTAGGTTATCGGTTTGCGAATGTTAGGGTCGTGCGTTCAATCCCCGGCGTTTGGGGATTTTTCTCTGTTAGGTGTATAAGAATTTAATATATAAATTATATATGAACAAAAATAGGTAAGAGAAAATATAAAAAATGGACCTCAATAATAATAAAGAACAAATAAATAATTTCATTTTACTACTTTAAACAGTTAATTTAACTATTTTTTACAGTTGTTACAACTACAATTTGTTACGGGCGCCTATAGGAACTACAGGAAATAGTAAAAAAGTAGTCAAATTTACCATATTTTTTTTTGTGTGAGATTAACCAGTTTCAAACAAATTCAATAAATTTAAAAAGAATTTCCGCCATATTGAACCAGATATTTTGAATTTCGAAAAACTGATTTCAGATTCGTAATCAGCGACCCTGAAAATCCCCAAGTATTCAGTTTCAAGCCAATCTGATCAATTTTTTATTTCGTTTTCCGCCATATTGGATCCGCCATTTTGAATTTTAGAAAACAAATGTTAGATACGTAATCAGTGACCCTTAAAACCCCTGAGTAACAAGTTTCAAGCAAATTCGACGAATTTTGAAAAAATTTCCGCCATCTTGGATCCGCCATTTTGAATTTCGAAAAACTGATGTCAGATTCGTAATCAGCGACCCTAGAAACTTTAGGGTACCAAGTTTCATAAAAATCCATTAAAAATTTTTTCAACACACTTTTGGCCCAAACAGTGGAAATCTCGTTGACAGCCAAGGGGTTAAGCTGAAAATTTCTTCACTGTTTAAGGCAGAAATTATTTTTGATTTAAAAATTAAGACTTAATTTGTATCTTAATAAAGATACAAATTTTACGTTCAATGATTATTTTTTAATTTAACCAAGTCTCAAGCTTTAAAAGAGCCTTCAGCGAGTCTTAAGTTATAAAAGTCTTAAGTTTTAAGGTGAATTTTTAGCTTCAACCAAGTCTTGAGCCTTGAGCGAGCCTTGAGCTTTAGGGGAATTTTTAGCTTCAACCAAGTCTGGAGCCTAGGGCGAGCCTTAAGCTTTAGGATTATTTTTAGCGTTAACCAAGTCTCGAGCCTTGAGCGAGCCTTAAGCTTTAGGATTATTTTTAGCTTTAACCAATGTCTCGAGCTTTAAGAAAGCCTTCATCAAGTCTTAAGTTTTAGGTGAATTTATAGCTTCAATTAAGTCTTGAGCATTGAGCGAGCCTTGAGCTTTAGGGGAATTCTTATCTTCAACCAAGTCTCGAGCCTTGAGCGAGCTTTGAGCGAGCCAACATTTTTTTACGCGCCAATTCCCTATCTCTATTTTTTATTTTTATTTTAATACAAAATAGGTCAAATTTGACATAAGTTTTGACGGCCTTTTGGGAGAGTAGCCCTTATAGAATCTTGAAACAGCGGCGATAGCGATAATATAGCGCGATTTTTGTAATATAGGGGTTATGTCGCGTCTCCATCTATATCTGTGACAGCAATAACTTTTGACCTTATTTTGAGGTTATTTTTACCTTTTGACCTACATCTATGGCCTGAAGTTATATTTTAACTATACTATAGCCATTTAAGGCCAATTTCAGAGCGCTGTCCTTTGACCTTTGACTTTTCCCAATTTGAGGCTAACTTCAGACCTTTGACTTTTGGCCATTTGTGGACAACTTCAGGGCACTGAATCCGGCGGCGAAATCTTTTTATTATATGTGACGCTCCACGAGAAAAGGGACCTTATGACAAGAGTAAATAAGGTCCCTTTTCTCGTGGAGCGTCACATATAGAGAGATTATATATTTTTAATACCAGAAAATAAAATTCTTAGCAGCAAGCTTGATATACGTTAAAATGTAAAATAAAAAATTATATTCTTCTTTTCAAATTTGTATATACTCGTTGCAACTGCAGTTTTTCTATTGATAATAGAACGTTTGTTCACTGATAAATAATTTTTCCCCTTCCAAACTGAACTAGATGCACCTGTAGTTTTTCTATTGGTTAACAGAACATCCATTCACTGATAAATAATATTTCTCCCTTCCAAACAGAATTACTTGCACCTGCAGCTTTTCTATTGATAATAGAGCATTTGTTCACTGATAAATAATATCTTCCCCTTCCAAACTGAACTAGATGCACCTGTAGTTTTTCTATTGGCTAACATGTACATATATTCACTGATAAATAATTTTTTCCCCTCAAAACTGAACTAGATGCAACTGTATTTTTTCTATTGGTTAACAGAACACAAAATTTAGATATTTCAGAGGTATAAATACGACTCGCTCAGTCTTCTATTACGTGGAATTAAGTTTCGTCTAATTGTTCCTGAATATCAAATACACGAGAAAAGTTTCACACCAAGGTAGTAAGCAAACAAAATTTTAACAAACAAATTATTTTATTTATTTGAATTATTTTAATAGTACACGGAGAAAATTTCTTTATTAATGATTACAATAGTCTATATTACAGCTCGGATATGTGACCACTTTTTGTAATGATTACGAAAACTGTGTAATGTATTAAGAATTAAGTAGGAGCGATTACTATAGTTACTTTAATGAATCCAAACACTGTATTAATCGTGTTGAAATTTATTTTTTGGAATCACTAGCGCAGTCGACGGCCGCAAGCGGCCGTCTCCTTTGCCGTTCTCTGCCATTTCTCAATTCAGTTCCCTGCCTAATTTTTAATTAATTACAATTTTTCTTTTTTCTTTGTGAATTTGATATACAATTACACTTACACAAACATACAAGCGTAAGGCATATGAAACTGGCGAACGCTAAGCATTAAAAAATCTTTAACTGTTCTACGCCATTTCTAAATTTAGTTTGCTACCTAATTTTGAATTAATTCTAATAACTTTAATTTCATTACATTTAAATATAAGATTTAAACTCCTGCCCTATTATAATTATATTCTTTGTTACTATTATTAATAATTATTTATTATTTTCAATAATATTGATTTCAATTTATTTATTCTAATTTCTTTTTTAATAAACATAAATTGATAAATATATACCATTTGTCTAGTTTTAATTATCTGATGCTGAATTAGAATGTATGTTCATTGTTATTAATAATATTAAAAAAAGTTTTTTGTTTATTTAATTTTCTTAATTACTTTTAATTAAAAAATGAATAAAAATAAATATTTATTTTTTATCAATTTCAAAAAAGGCTATCAACATTTTAAAAGTTAGCGCCAACAATTGGACAACCGCAGCTCCATCTGCAACATGCACTTTGCTTATGAGTATGCCTTTCTCCAATGCTTTTTTCCTAAGCGCGCTGCGAGTTCTCTTCGATATTTTTGATATTCGATCTTGCCCATGCCTTCATGCTTTTTTTTTGGTAGAATTAATAGTTTAGATGTACAGGTTCAGAAAGGGTACTGTAGGCATTCACGCAGAGACTTGTTATAATTACAATAGTCTACGTTAAAAGGAAATCTTGGATTATGTTCACACTTGCAGCAGTCTAAGGGAATCAGTGATACAGACTGTAGTAGCCTTTACAACAGGACTATTGTAAAATAAGGTGACCGCGGCTGCCTTGCCTTCTTATTTTACTATAGTTCTTCGTAAAGACTACTATTGCTATATTTCTGATTACAAATGACTGTTGTAAAGTTAAAAAAGAAAATTTTCAACTAAAATATAATACATTTCGTAACAAGTGTGAACTGATGGCGTTTTTGAAACGAGCGCAATGTTTTTGAAACTCGTTTTAAAAACTTGCGCGAGATTCAAAAAGTAGTTCACGCAAGTTACGAAGGATAATTTTTTTAATAAAGTCATAAAAAAAGGCGTTAAAAACGAGACACCCAGATTTGTCACAAAACTAGTTTACCGATATACATTCAAACGTACAAAAACGTTTTGTCGCGCGGGGGGGTTCGGTGGGTCTCCCCCCGACACAAAAGATTAATTTTCATTGACAATTTAAAGGTAAACAATTCATTTCAGTATTAATGTTGAAAAACCTTTGGTGTGGCCTACAAGGAGAAGGGTACTTCGGGGGGCGAAGCCCCCGTTCTCAAATAACCATCTCCAAATCATAGGCTCCAAATATTAATTATTCTGACAGTCGATAAAAAAAAGTTAGGTTATGTTGAGGAAATGTTTTGACAATGATAGCGAAATCATAGAGATTTTTAGATTTCTAGCGAATCTTAGGTCTTTGCAGGGCATAAAGCCAGTATAGTCCAGAGAGTCCAGAATAGAGTCGAAGTCGGTATGAACGCGCTGATACAACGCGCTCGTCCTATGTATTCCATATGGACGAGCGCGTTCATACCGACTTCGACTCTATTCTGGACTCTCCTTCAAATTTAGCTTAACTTAACTTAGCGTTTTTGCAGTAGTCTGTGTGCTACTATTCTCGATAAAAACGTCGACTCATTTTGTCCTTCTCACTTGGTTCATCGCAGTCGTTACATTGGCTCAACTCTTGTCCTTTTTAATAATTTTATTGCACTCTTCCTTTAAAATATTTCTTTTTCTTTTTTGTACTCTGGGGTAGTCTTATTTGCACTAGGTATGTTTTCGTTGCCTGCACTTCTTACACTTTAACACCTAACCTGCACTATGATGTTCTCTTTGCCGGATGTGACGTAATTTTATCATACATTTCGCTACACTTTCTGCACCTACTCTTGAGGTGGTGTAAAAGTTACACTTAGTGCAGGCAACGAAAACATACCTATTCCGTACGAATAAGGCTGGAGTCCCATGATAGCGTTTTGCGTTGCGTTTTGTAACTAGGCCATGAGTGTGAGAGAGGTACAGATATATATATATATATATATATATATATATATATATATTATAACAATGAACAATAATTGAGGGCGTGGAACGGATAACTGCCTGTAGCGCATGGCCGAAAGGGACTATAACAGTCAGACATCTATGAGAGGCCTAGAGGCGCTCACTATATTGTCTGACTGGTATCCCAGTAAACAACAACTACTTGAAATAAATTAAAAAGAATTCACAAAGAGCTTCAGTGAATCCCGCTTTGTGACAAATACAAATTGGAGCTATGTTGCAATTTTCCTGAATTCGTCAAACTGTATTGAAATTCCAAACCTTCTATTCTTACTAATTCAATGGACAAGTTTTGGGGCCTTTAATTTTTTTTAATTCGCCAGCACGAATTCAATGCATGCCTTGGTCATTTCTTTCGAATGCGAATTCGTTTGCACAAATTCAGGCAAATTCAATCGAATTCAATCGAATATACAAAAAGCTTGAATGAATCCCGCTTTCTACCAAAAATCTTAATTCATTTCAATCCGTTTGAATTAGTTTTTTTTTACTGGGATAGTCCCTTTCGGCCATGCGCTACAGGCAGTTATCCGTTCCACGCCCTCGATTGAAGGGCTACATAAAATAAGGGGACGAACGCGTGGTTGAAAGGGATAATATCAGTCAGGCAGCAGCGAGCGGCTCAAGGCTTGTCACTGCTACCCGACTGGTACTATCCCTTCCAAGCCTCGCGTTTGTCCCCTTATTTTATGTAGCCCTTCAATTGTATTAATTATTGAGAACGAAGTGATTTTTTTTTACATTTAAAGTGTATTAGTCTTTCTCGCAAGCAGTGAATTTTCATAGCAGTTATTATGTTATGTTATATTATGTTATTATGTTATATTATGTTATGCGTTTTAGTATTTAAGTTAGATTTATGTACTTAGGGTTTAGTAAAATTGTCTAGGTTAAGAGGAGTAGAAGACCGTACACCACTTTTGCGTGTTTTTTTAACATTTATTTTTGCATAGTAAAATATATCGAAACACTCGGCTCTTTTCACACATATTAACACATATATTGAGGATTAATAATAAAATATTTTTTTATTTATTCTGCCCTTCATGGTGACAAAATGGCGGCTGAAGTGATTGTCCGGAAAAAACTGGTTGACACGATATCTCTGCTTCAAAATGTCGGAAACAAAAAATCCAAAGAATTTCTTAAAATATATGCCAGTGGCTATGTCATGAACCACAAAAAATGAATTTAAAAAAAATTAGAAAATGGCGGCGGTTTGAATTTTTTTACCCCTTTTTTCACCCCTAAAACGGTTAAAAAATGGGGTTAAAAATGGATGTAGAATGTTGGTTGTGGTTCATGCCATAGCCACTGGCATATATTTTAAGAAATTCTTTGGATTTTTTGTTTCCGACATTTTGAAGCAGAGATATCGTGTCAACCAGTTTTTTCCGGACTAAAATCATTAACAGAAAATTTTTCTCCGTGTAATATTTACAGATTGTAAATTATTATTGGCTATAAAGCATAAAGTAAACAAGGCTCCTTCTTTCCGTGTCAATTTTGCATAAGTTTCAGTCTTTTTGAAATTTATTTTTAAACTAGATGTTAATCAAGCGCTACACTGAGAGAAATGGATAGTCAGATTTTGATGTTAAAAAGATGATGTTACACGATACTATCATTATGCTACAGCCAACCATCACAGATGCTAAAAAAAATATAGTTATGCTACCCCTTACTACCAAGATGTTACTCCTGATGATATTGATGGTAACGGTGACTATCTAGATAGCTGTCTGTATACGTAGCATTAAAGATGGTCACCCTAACCACAATTATGTTACCCACTACTATAAATTTCTCTCCGTGTAAATCGCGCTACTAATTGTTAATTTAATGTATAATTACAATAATTAAAAAAAATGTTATTCTTAAACTGAAACTGATTTTATGATCAGAAAAACGGCAAGATAGTTTTTTTCGTGATTGTTTATCTTGTTGGTTAGGGGCTTTGGTTTGTGTTCGTCAAACCCGGGTTCAATTCCCAGTCCCCTCGAATTTGTTTCCAAAATCAGGGTTGCCACAAAAATTTAATTTTCCTTTTGCCCAATGGGAAATGCCAGTGTAGTGCCGATGTTCACCACTGGCTTAGTACTCAGACGATTGTTCGGCGTAGTCTAGCCGAGCCTCGACAATTAGTGCTGGCGCAGTACAGAATTTTTGTTTCGCCAAAGCTAGGACAAGCCACGGCGGCAAGTGCTGGCTGAGTATAGAAAAATTGTTCACAACGCTCTTTGCCAACATTGCTTTTTTGACATAAACTTGAAAAAAATTATAAAAAAAGTTTATGAATGTTTATAAATATAAATTTATTCAAAAAATTAATATTTTACTTTTTGGTTGTTCATTTTTTATTCTTATTAAATTTAATAATAACAATTTAACACAATTGTCTAATATTATTGTAAATAATAAATTATTTAAACAAATTAAAATTATAAACAAAATTTAAACTTTAATCTCAATAATAATTTGGTTCCTATTAAAATACTATTATACTTCTTACTATGAATAAAAAGTTATTAAAAAATTACCACGTAATTTAAGAATTACGTAAAATGTTAAATGCAATAAGTAAAGTAATTTAATTATTAAAAATTTAGTTCAATTTATTTTATTTCAATTTATTATTTCTAACGTATCCCTATTTTTTTCTCATCTTTGACTCAATAATTGTATGTCTGTGTCTGAATGATACTGAGATATTAATACTTTACTGTACACATGTGTCGTTAGCATAGTGGTTAGAGCGTTAGTCTGTTAGTCCGTAGGTCGTCGGTTCGATTCCCCTCGTCAGCAATTTTGTTTATTTTCATAGGTTTGCGATATTTCTAGATTCCAATCGTTAGGTACTAAAATATGAAAATCTAATGCACACTTACTGTAATTGTTTATTATTTAATTTTTAAATGTTATAAACAATTTTTTTCTACTTCATTTACTATATCCATTGTTAGTCTCCATCTTTAATACAATTTCTTTAAGAAGAGAAATATTTTATGAATAATAACTATTTATTAATATTATTTACCATTTTGTTGTTAAATTATTTATAATTATGAATTTACGACTAATTAATAACAATACGGCATTTATTGCGGCAATATTCTCAGCCAGCACTGGTCCAGTGCTGCGCCAGCGCTGTCTGGCAGCACTGACAGACAGTACTTCGGCAGCGCCAGACGGCGTTATCATCCCAGTGCCATGCCAGTGCTGGCTCTCAGCCTTGCCGCCAGTGCTGCCAGTGCTGGCGCAGTACTACGCCAGTTGTAAATTTCCCATTGGGTGCCTGCCTTTCCCAGACAAATTTTTAACTTTTCCTCTGACCCTAAAGAATATTCTAATTCACTCTAAAAATGATGAGATACTCAAAAAAATGTTCTATTACATTTATTTACAAATTTTTTTAATTTTAAAATTATTGGAAAAAATCACTAACTTCACTTTTTAAATAAATATTTAATCATTATTATTTTTCCATAGGAATTAAGATTAAAGATGACCGTTTAATACTGCCGTCCAATAAAGAAAAAGATACATAAGAGACATTACCATCAATCCGAGAAAATCAAAGAAAACTTTTTGCCTTCAAAACTATAATTTAAATTAACTTTTTTAAAAAAAATTTTTGATCAATATTTAATAAAAAAAATATTCTGCTTCTCATTATGTAAAAAAAAAATTAATTTGTTAAACAATTTCTATTGTAAAATGGACATACGGGTTTCTAGTAGTGATAAATACAGACGAATAAAAGCACAAAGTCGCTTATGTTTATTTCTCGGTAAACTTACTCGAGCTGAGCGGTGCCGTCCAGAGGAAAAAGATACATAAGCGACTTAATATAAAAGAACCAAGCCTGTGTAGTAAAATTATCGCTTTTCTTCTTCTGTAAACTCGACTCACTGTCAGACCATTTTACAGAGGAAAAAGATACATAAAGACAGTCGAGAAACAGTCGCTTCTTTTAGTCTGTAAAGTCAGCTCACTCTCAGGCTCCTTTACCGAGTAAGAAGATACATAAGCGACTTTGTGTATCATTTTGTCCTGTAAGTTGGTGACGTATGCAGCGTCGTTTACCGAAATATGAACCCACAAAGAGCTTTATGTATCTTTTAACTCTGTATTTCGTCACTTTTTCCATTTTTGTCATTTTTAAACAATCTTTTTTTGCAATAAATAATTAAATTTTTTAATTCTTTTTTACACAGTTAAATGCAGCTTTTTTTATGAATCCAATGATACCAAAAACTCAATTTTTTCAAAAATGTCGCTTATGTATCTTTTTCCTCTGGACGGCAGAATAAAATCATTATTTTATATTACGAATATTGTTACTGTAATTTCTTCAAAATTATTTTCATCATTTCAATTAAATTATTATTTTCTACAATTTTTAACTACAATTCTTCTTTAAATCAATTATTTTTAATAATTTTTGAAAAAGTTCTTTGAGAATTTTCAAATTGTAAACAAATGTTTAGAATTCAAGTTTTACGAAATCTCGATTATTCGGAAATTCTTCAATAATTAAATATATATTAGGAAAGGAAAACTTCAAGTAAATTAAAAGAAAAATTCAATTAAACTTTTCCAAAAAAAAATTAATTCTATACAGAATTGTTAGTTTAAAGTATAAAAAATTCAGATTTTCAAAGATTTTACTTTGTAACCTTATTTTCAAAAATTCAATTATTTCTAACAATTCTTTTAATATTCAATTATTATCTAAAATTTTAACTGAAATTCATTTTTTAATCAAAAATAAATAATTTATTGAATAATTGAATGTTTCTTAAATTCAATTCTAATAAAGAATTTTATTGACAAATTTTTAAATAATATAGAATTCTTTTGACGAAATTTAATCAAATTTTTAAGAAGAACTACAGTTTTCGTGGAATTGGGTTAAAATATTGTATTAAAAATAAATTAAATTCCGCGATGAATTTTATTATTTATGCAAATAATTAAATTCTTGTGAAAAATTTTATTAAAATTAGAACACAATTGAGTTCTTGTGAATTATTTTATTAAAATTTGAAAATAATTCAATTATTTCGAAAAATTTTATAAAAAAATTCTCATTAATGTTAAGTTTCAAAATATAAAAAGCAAGGCATAATTAATGAAAAAAAAGACTTTCAAATTAAAAAAATAAAAATAAAATTTCTTTTTAATTTAAGAAATACTTTTGTAAATTTGCAGCATGTTTGCAAACAACTTTGCAACAAATTTTTAGCAGTCCTTCAGTAATAAACTTTTTTAATATTTTCGTTCTGTCCATAAAATTACAATCAGGAATCATGAACATGCAATTATTTAAAAATTACTACTTTTGAGTACTGAAGGTTTACTTTTACGTTAAATTTTTAACTTCTTCATAGTTTACTTGTCAGCTATAAAGTCAAATATTATTAAAATCTACTGTTGAAATATTATTTATCGATTACAAAACTTAGATGCAGATATTTAGCAACGATTTGACAAAAAAGGAGAATTTTCAATTTTCTTCATTTTACAATCATAACCTTTGCTTAAATTAATATTTTTTAAACTTATATTTTAAGATAGACTAACGCCCAAGGGACTTACAATATAAATTTCAATTCGTCTAGTCATATAAATTTTTCTACTTTTCAGGACTTTAAAATATCAACTGAAAAACGTTGCACTACCTTGTTTGTCAATCATGATAAGAATAGCAATAATCTGCTTTCTAGTTTCCATTGTCAGAAGTCAGGACTGTGTGCTTAATTCTGATGAGTTAAATGAAGTAAAGCAAATTTTCAAGGATGCGGATAAAAGTATGGAAGAAGCAACTAAAAATCAAAGTGCAAATGCGGCAATTGTCATAGGCACCAGAAGAAGTGGAAAAAGTACACTAATTAATTACTTGATGGGCAATGAATTAACAGCTTTTAGACGTGATAAATTTGAAGACATAACAATAAGAAAAACTAACGAAAATACAACTGGACCAGAAATTAGTACTAGCGTAGAATTAGGGTCTAAAATTCCTACAAAATGGTCATCAAGAAGGCCAGAACTTCAAAATGTGGACCTCTGGGATACTCCTTCAATTTTGGACAGCAGTGATCCAGTGCGTGAATTCAGCAATGCCCTTTATCTGTATCATCTGATAAGAAGAGTCGAATCTCTGAAACTCATTTTAGATGTCAATTTTAATTCCATTTTTTCTGATGATATTTATGAGATTATTTTGCTTCTAAATGATCTTGATCAATTATTTAATGGCATGTTTAAAGACTTTTTCCCTAGTATATCACTAATTATCTCAAAAGCACCTTATCAACACAATGAAGCTACAGTTGATCATGAATATGTAAGTGCCAAATTAAACTCGATATTAGAAAGTAATCTGGTTGAGTCCCAAGTTTTAAAAGACTTTATACAGCATATAACAGATAATAAAAAAAGTGTAGGCATCTTCAGGCTACCAAAAGATATTGGAAACCTTGCTGCAGATATCGATGATAATATTATTCCAGCTATTAATAACGCTCAGGGCAAAGACAAGGCATCTCACCAGAATATGGGTATATCAATTACAGAACGATATCTACCTTGCCTGCAACACTTTAATGATTTGATGCACAAAGAATAACCAACAGAAAATAGTGTCTGATAAAGATTTCTGGAGTTATTTATACAGGCAGTATTTCTTCTATAACTAAACTACTGTTATTATGGGTTAATTCAAATAATTGTAAACTTGAAAATATGGTGTCGGTAACGTTTCTACGTGAAAATTAAAAAATAAATTCCAGAATTTCAAAAAATACTTTTGGATTTTTCAGTTTTTCTTTCCAATTTATATTCCTCTATACCTTAAAAATTTCCAGAAATTGTGTTTAACGACCATTTTTTAAAAATAACCCTACACGTTGGGCCAGAATTCGTGAAATTTTCACGAAAAATAAAAAGTATTTTTTTTAAATCGAAATGTTGAGAAAACATTTCTATTTGGCTTTAGGAAGGAGTCTACCAAAGAACAGAAAAAAATTTTTTTATAAAAGTTATTGCAAAATGAATTTTTTGAAACTTTTTAATCAAAATTTTATTATTTTCAAATGAATGATCCGATTTAAATGAACCAACCCAGGTGCGATTTTTTGGTCGGCCCATAGTTGGGCCAACTTTTACAAAGTCGGTCCAACTTCTCGTGCCAGAGGTTGGGCCAACCATACAGATGATAACGGCGACCGTCTAATGGCGACGATGGTTGGCCCGACAACTCATAAGGAAGTTGGCCCAACTTACAATGCATATGTTGTGCCAACTATACATTTCAATGGTTGGTCCAAAGACTGACGCCAAAGTTGGCACAACTTTAAATGCGTAAGTTGGGCCAACCACAATTTTCAAAGTTTGGCCAACTTCAACAGCCAAAGGTAAAAAATTATTAAAAAACTAAATTATTTAAACAATTAACAGGTTATTATTAGCGGGAACATCAGATATAACCTTTACCTATTATTATTAAACACAATCTCATACTATACATTTTCGAAAATACCCGAGTCGAAATTTAGACCCTACTTAGCCTCTGAAAATGTAGGGCTTATTCAGGTTTAGCAGTCGTAAAGTAGGGTCTGATTTCAATACAATTTTTAAAAACTAGACCCTCCTTTGACTCCCAAAATAGGCTGAAATTTGCCAATCTTCCATTTGGAGAAGCAAAGGAGGGTCTACTTCTAAGAAACCTATACCGTACTTTAAAACCTCGTAGACCCTACTTTCATACTCCTAGACCCTACAATTAGAAAAAGAAAAATTTGAAGATTTGCTCAGATTCAATTGAAGCACTAGGGATGAGTAAAAGTGGAATTTTATGTGTTTTATAGCGTCTATATACACGAAGTGTATATAGACGCTATAAAACACATCAGTATTTATGAATTTGGAGTACTTTTTGCATTTGCAGTGTTTCAAGTAATGCATTAAAAAATAATTCAAAATTTTCTTTTAGAATGTAGGGTCTAGGAGTATGAAAGTAGGGTCTACGAGGTTTAAAAGTACGGTATAGGTTTCTTAGAAGTAGACCCTCCTTTGCTTCTCCAAATGGAAGATTGGCAAATTTCCGCCTGTTTTGGGAGTCAAAGTAGGGTCTAATCGTATTAGAATTAGACCCTACTTTACTACTCCTAACACTCAATAGACCCTGAAAATTCAGGGTGAAAGTAGGGCTTAAATTTCGACTCGGGTATCTAACGCTCGCTGGGATCGAGCCCCTAACCTAACGCACCGAAGACTTATACACTGACCACTACGCTACGCTCACATGGGAGTGCATAACGCAAAATGTATACTTAAGCTGCAACAGTCGGGCCAACCGTGGCCCAGAGTTCGGCCAACCAAGAAAGTTTAAGTCATTTAAACCGCATTTGACAAAGTTTTGCCAACCGTTGGGCCAACCGTTGCCCAGAGTTCGGCCAACCAAGAAAAATCAAGTCAATTAAACTGCGTTTCACAGAGTTTTGCCAACCGTTGGGCCAACCGTGGCCCAGAGTTCGGCCAACCAAGAAAAATCAAGTCAATTAAACTGCGTTTCACAAAGTTTTGCCCACCGTCGGGCCAACCGTGGCCCAAAGTTCGGCCGACCAAGAAAGTTTAAGTCAATGAAACTGCGTTTCTAGAGTTTTGCCAACCGTTGGGCCAACCGTTGCCCAGAGTTCGGCTAACCGAAACTGAAAGTCTTTTAAACTACGTTTGGATAAGTTGTGCCAACCTTTGTCGCCAAAGTTGGCCCGACGGTTGGTTAAACTCTGCATTTAATGGTTGGCTTGCAAAGTCGGGCCAACTGTGGGCACAAGTACTTGCCAAAGTTGGGCAAACTCTGGCAACCAAAACTTTGCTTGCCAAAGTTAGGCCAACCTTGGGCCAACCTTCAAACTCTGGCGGCCAACCTAAATTCGCACCTGGGAAGCGAGAATTCAAAGGGGATAAAATATAGGGTAAATGCACTAGTAGTCGGACACTAAAGGATACGATTTTATATTTTGCTTTTTTTTTCTTAAAATAACAAATAAATATTGTTTTTCCAAGCATATTTTCAATTAAAGAAGCTTTTCAGGATAAAAGATCATATAAATTTGTTACACATACTTGAGTATTTAATAAAATATAAGCACTTTAATGAAAATTCACGAAAGCTTCAGTAGTCGGACACTTTTTTCTATAGTCGGACACCAGTCAGACATTTTTTATTTATAAAGTAAAAAAGATAATCTTTTAATTGCTTCTTGCTGGAAAATTTGTTTAAAGCTTATTAGAAGTTAATAATATAATATTAAATCCTATAAATTTTAATACTTATGATTAATTATTGTGACGCGGCATTTTTGCCACGCACAAAATTTTCTTGATTTTCTCTTGTTTTGAAAAATAATTTTTATAAATAAATCGTCAAAATGAGAATCTTTTCTTTCCTAAAATAAAAATAAACTATTAATTATCCAAATAAAAATTATACCTTATAAATTAAATTATTGAATTAAATGATATTTAATGAAATACAACCTGCCAGCTCGTTAGATCAACAATAAAAATAAAACTCGAAATTAGAACATTTTCTGACGTTCGTATTTTATTATTTTCATAGTTATCGAGAAAATGTTCACTGGAAATCTGCTGGTCTTTTAACACTGTCACTAGTAGAAGTCTATAGGGGAAGTGCTTCCTGGTGCATATGTTCGGATGTGATTCCCGAATATTCAAGAGCAGCACACGGAGAGAAATATCTGGGCTTTTTAGCATGAAAGTTCTTCATACTACGATTGCAAGAGACCTATGCGATTTCGGTGAAAGTTTTCTGCAATGCGATTGGTCGGCCCAGGCTTTGGGCGTGGCGTAATAGCCACCCACATAGCACATATTTTTCCGGGAAGTTTCCAGAAAATTTCCCATGTTAAGTTCGGAAATTTATCGTGTTTAGTTCCTGGAAACTTCCAGGAAACTTGATATGCCTCAAGATTTAAAGTTTCCGCTGTTATCTTCCAGGAAATTATTATTGTAATTTTCCTGGAAAAAAGAACTGGAAATTTCCTGAAAAATTTAGGGAAGTTTTTTTGAAGTTTCTCTAAAATTATTTCTGTTAATTTTACATTAATTATTATTTAAAATAATAATAATAATAATAATAATAATAATAATAATAATAATAATAATAATAATAATAATATAATTATCTTAGCGACAGGTGGGTTATATATGAGGGAGACACCTGCACTCTCAGGGAAGAGATGCAGCGTGGGGCTCCTCAAGGCTCGAGGGTGGGTCCATTTGTATGGAATATATTATGTATTTTAAGGCCAACGCACAATTGCTTCGCGAACGTCGTTCGCGAATGTAAGGCCGCAGTCCCATGGCAGCGTTTTGCGTTGCGTTGTAATGAGAGAGAATGCAGCAAACGTATATTTGCGTCTTTTTCTCTCCCATTACGACGCAACGCAAAACGCTGTCATGGGACTCCACCCTAAAGCGTGAGTTGGAAAAGAATACAAATATATCTCTGTCCTCTTCTAACCCATATATTGCGTTCGCAAACGACATTCGCGAAGTAATTGTGCTTAGGCCTTTATGATGATTTTCTGCGAATGGATCTGCCCGAAGGTGCGGTGATCGTCGGCTTTGCGGACGACGCGTTGTTCGTGTGCACTGCCGAAAGTGAGGAGGCTCTTGGGACATTGGTGAACGAATGTCTGCGACTAGCAAAAAGCTGGCTGGATACCAGAGGTCTTGAAATGGCCCTGGAAAAGACCGAGGCACTGCTGGTCACAGACAGACGTGGTTATGAGCTCCCACGAATCGTGATAGACGGATTCGAGGTCAAGTGGAGTAAACAAATTAAATACCTTGGTGTGGAGTTGGATGGAAGGTTAAACTTCCACCACCACATGGCTACGGCGTCAAATAAGGCGATCGAATGTGCGGCTAATCTTTCACGGTTAATGCCAAATGTAGGCGGACCCCGTGAACAAAAAAAAAGACTGGTGGCGAGTGTCGCCCACGCTAAAATGCTCTATGCAGCACTAGCGTGGGCCCCATCCCTGAGGTGCAAAAGATGTGTGACCATCTGTGAAAAGATACTGTCGGCGCAGAGATCGATAACAACGCGTATCATCTCTGCATATAAGACGGTATCTACGAGTGCTGTGCAGGTCCTTGCAAGTGTCCCGCCAGCAGATCTTTTGGCGAGGGAAAGGGAAGAAATGTTTCTCTTTTCTAAAGAAAGCAGTTCCTTGAATGAGGAATTAAGACCAAGCAAGGGCCTGATCCGCAAAGAAGGGAGGCACAGGCTCATAGAAAGATGGCAAGAAAGATGGGATGGTGAGGAAAAAGGTCGATGGACTTATCGCCTTATCCCGGCACTCGCCACCTGGATAAATAGGAAACAAGGTCAGGTTTCCTATTATTTGACTCAGGCGCTCACAGGTCACGGGTGTTTCAACTCGTACCTGTGTCGCTTTAAATTACGCGAGGACGAGGTGTGTGCATATTGCCAGTTCCCTGCGGACAACGCGGAGCACACCCTCTTCTCATGCAGAAAATGGGACTTGGAGAGGCGGGCCATGTTCGAAGGTGTAAACAGTCAAGTTACACCGGAGAACATGGTATCGCTGATGACCCAGTCAGAAGAGAATTGGCGGCAAGTCGAGAACTTCATAATCTCGGTTATGTCGAGGAAAGATCTCGACGGCCGCCAAAAAGCGTAATTTAAACAGCTTTTAATTTGTTTGTTTGTTTCTTATTAATTTATTTTGTGTATTATTTGTCCTTATA